ACAATTTCTATCGGGGAGGGGCATATCTCACTTCACATTGAGGTGAATTTTTATGAGTTTGCGCTGTGCAGATCTTTCTACACAGTGCAGGACAATATTAATTTGGGTTTATTCCCCCAAAGGTGTGGGCATGTGAGTGCTGGGTGAATCCTCTCACACAGAGATGACTTCAGTCTCTGTCTACAGCTGGGTGTGGCCCTATGTCTATGTGTGTGTTGCAAGTGGCCAGAGATCCTAATTCCCACAAGGGGGAGGGAATTCAGGTTGGCATAGCAGGAGGGGCTCAATGAAACCCCAGTATACCAGATTGCATCCCAGAAGGGGGGTGCAAAACATCATAGGGGGTTATACACTTTATATCAAAGTACAGTAAATATTTTATAGTTATTAACAATCTAGAAAGGGGGGTGAGCAGTGAGGTGGCAACATTTACAGATGGCACTAGATGATTTAGGTCAAAGCGAAGTCCAGAGAAGCTCTCAGAGGGAGCTAATCAAGTCAGGTGAATGGGCAGCATGATGGTGGATGATTTCAAGTTTTTTCCTCCAATGGGCATACATGCTGTATTTATTAACGTCAAAGTTCCTCAAACACCTAACAAGGTTCTAATTTCACTGTTTCAACTCAGGGCAGGAACCTGGGCATCACGGTCTGTAGCTCTGTGAAACCCTGCTCACAGTGCAAGCATGGACAGAAACTAAGCAAAACATTGGGATCCAGGAAGAGTAGGATGAGGAATCATACAAAAAATACAATGTCATAGGATCAGTCAAGGAAATCATCCCTCACCAATCTACTAGAATTCTTTGAGGGGGTCAACAAGCATGTGGACAAAGGGGATCCAGTGGATATAGTGTACTTAGATTTTCAGAAAGCTTTTGACAAGGTCCCTCACCAAAGGCTCTTATGCAAAGTAAGCTGCCACGGGATAAGAGGGAGGTGCTCTCATGGATTAGTAATTGGTTAAAAGATAGGAAACAAAGGGTAGGAATAAATGGTTGGTTTTCAGAATGGAGAGAGGTAAATAGTGGTGTCCCCCAGAGGTCTGTTCTGGGACCAGTCCTATTCAACATAGTCATAAATGATCTGGAAAAAGGGGTAAACAGTGAGGTGGCAAAATTTGAAGATGATACAAAATTACTAAAGATAGTTGAGACCCAGGCAGACTGTGAGAGCTACAAAAGGATCTCTCTAAACTGGGTGACTGGGAAACAAAATGGCAGTTGAAATTTACTGTTGATAAATGCAGAGTAATGCACATTGGAAAGCATAATCCCAACTACACCTTTAAAATGATGGGGTCTAAATTAGCTGTTACCACTCAAGAAAGAGATCTTGGAGTCACTGTGGATAGTTCTCTGAAAACATCCACTCGATGTGCAGCGGCAGTCAAAAATCTAACAGAATGCTGGGAATAATTAAGAAAGGGATAGTTATAGGACAGAAAATATCATGTTGCCTCTATATAAATCCATGGTACACCCATATCTTGACTATTGTGTGCAGATGTGGTTTCCGCATCTCAAAAAAGAAATATTGGAATTGGAAAAGGTTCAGAAAAGGGCAACAAAAATGATTAGGGGTATGAAAGGCTTCCGTATGAAGAGAGATTAAAA